GTCACATGGCTGGCAAGCCACTCCCACCCGGTTACATGGCTGGCAAGCCACTCCTACAAAACAGGCCACACTTATAGAAGAAGTTCTAAAATTTTTTGAAACCTACCACTGTATTGGTTGCTATAAAAGCGCTTCAGAAATAGATGGTTAAAAATATTGTTTTATAATACACCTGTTATTTCATACCAACATAACCACTTTATTCAAATTGGAGAATAAATTATTTTTGGATAAATCCATTGTAAAAAAGGGCTTAGACGTATCTTTGTCACTGAAACTGCTTTGGTTGCCCTGTGAAATCATCTTTGCTGCAAGGAAGACAAGGAGAGAGCTGCCATACAACAGCTTTCAGTATTACTGACCATGATATCCTTCTGAAAAGTTTGAATTGGGTATGTGTTGAACACATTAACATTCGCTTTGTTCAAATTTGGTGTTATGACATCTGGGAGATTTCTGCTTAATACTATACAATATTATTAATACTACATCAGCATTGTAACTTGCTGTTTAACAACTATATTGTAAAATTGCTGAATGATTCAAGGGTTTAGAATAAAGTGCTACCAGTTTTCTGCTCTCTCATCTTAGTTACTGTAAATCTCTGTATAAGAGACAGCCAAAAACTTCCAATTAAAGAGGAATACTCAGTGTAGCTGGTATTAAAACATGCCAGCATTTCATCCTTTTTATTGCCTTCTAGTTAATTTCCTATCTTAATTCAACATGTTGGTTAACATATAAAGCATTTCACAGCCTACAGTTTTTGAAGCAATGATTATTTCAATTTCATATTCAAACCAAAAGTTGATATCCACAGTTGGCTTTTTAGGATTGAACTCAAGTGCTCTAAAGTATTTTGTCAATAAGACACAGAGTTTATTTTGTTGTATTTTCAATGTTAAAGAGATTAAATTGATATCATTTTCCTATTTTCATTTCATTTGTCTAAAATTGCTCTTCAAAGGTTACTTACCACTCACTGGAAGATAATATTTGTAGCTCAGAGTTCAACTGTACAATAGTGACTGTTTGAAGTTACAATGACACTGAAAAAAGTGATTTATGACTGTTTTTCACTTTTATGACCATTGCAGCATCCCTATAGTCATGTGATCAAAATTCACACACTTGGCAACTGACTCATATTTATGATGGTTGCAGTGTCTCAATGTCATGTGATCAACTTTTGCGACCATGCTGTCAAGCAAAGTCAATGGGGAAGCCAGATTCACTTAACAACCATTTTGCTAACTTAACTGCAGTGATTCACTTAATAAATGTGGCAAGAAAAGTCATAAAATGGGGCAAAACAAATGTCTCGCTTAGCGATGGAAATTTTGAGCTTAATTATGGTCATGAATTGAAGACTTTGAACTGTTATTTTTTTTTTTTAAAAAAAAATAGATTTTAAAGATATGTTAAACTTCCTGAGAAAAGTTCCATTTCAAACATTTGTTTTCAAATAAATTGAAATATTTTTTTAAAAAATCTCTTGTAGTAAAAATATGCTCAATGTTAGTGGCCTCTTGTAAATAAACTAAGTTTACATTATCTGCAATGTAAACTTACTCAACCAGTTGAAGTGACCTTTGATACAGAGGTATGGTATAACTTTGAAACAGAAATCCAACAGAAAAACCTGTATTACGGGAGACACTTAATTTTCTGCAGGTGGGTTTCTGCTAGCATAGAGGAATCTTCTTTCTCCATGTATATTGCCCAAGTCTGCTCCTGAGAGTCTCTCAACTTTTCAGAACAGATTTTGGGAATGTATTCTGCAGGGTGGAAGATTATCAATAAACAAATCTTCTTCTCTTGCAAACATTTCTGTAAAAAAAACCTCCGCCCCCCCTCATATTTCATTCTACTACTCCATGAGCCATGGTGGCGCAGTGGTTAAAATGCAGTATTGCAGGATACCTCTGCTGATTGCCAGCTGCCAGCAGTTTGGCAGTTTGATTCTCACCGTCTCAAGGTTGACTCAGCCTTCCATCCTGGTAAAATGAGGACCAGATTGTTGGGGGCAAAATGCTGATTCTGTAAGATCACTTAGAGAGGGCTGTAAAGCACTATGAAGCGGTATATTGCTATTGCTATTTCGATTGCTACTAAAATTTAAAAAGCCTTGGAATATTTGTAATCTATCCTTTAAATTCTAGAAGTTACATGCAGCAACAGTTACTACCTCACAAAGATATTTTTTTTGCCAATTGTCTCATGTTTCTTACACTGCGTAAGTGTTAGCATATAGTATCAGAAAAGCTGAGGATTTAATTCTGTATATTCTGGCAACATTGGGCATAAAATCCTATTTTCCACATATAGAACATTACTTAAAAACTTCCTTGCTTGCTTTTATCCCTATTCTTAACATCCCTTTTGAAGAAGAAAAACATGAGAGCCATAACATTTGCATGCACCAAAGCAAAATGCAAGTAAAAGGGGAAACAGAAATAGAAAATAAAATAACATAAGACTGAAATGTCTCACCACCGAAACGATGCCTTATGGAACGGGACAGTGCAGATAGGATGAGACAATCAAAAGCTAGATGGAAAGAAGCATGATGGAACGGAGAAGCAGTTCACAAAGACAAAAGACAGAAGGGAGGAGGGGGAAAAGGTAGGAGAAGGATATCTGTGCACACCTGAATCCTTTCCAAGGCATTTTGCATTTGTAGGTGACCTTGGCCCACTTTGTTCATAAGAGCAATGCTCATTGTTAGCTGGCAAATAACTAGCAGTGACAACTTTGTCCCTGCATTCCAGTGGCAGTTTTTCTGGCGAAACCAGATGCAGTTCATCTGAAGGCTCTTTTCGCTTGGAATTAGTTACTCTTGGCTCAACTTGAGCTTTGGACCTCAGTTGTGTTTGGTTCTCTTTCAGAGCGTCTGCACAGGGACTCAAAAGACTACTTTTACCAAGACCAAGAGGTTCAGAGGCTTGGCTTTCCGATTTCAAAGCCCAGCCTTCAGGAAAAGACTGCTTCTTTTTCCCAATAGCACCAGGTGATTGAGGAGATTCTGATCCTAGCACAGTTTTTGACTTTGTCTTTGGTGAGAAAGAAGCTAATATTGGTCTATCAGGTAGAGGCTTGGGGATGTCAAGGGTCAAATGGGCTCGACTAGATGCCAACTTGCTCTGAAAGGACTGGGGTGACGAAGAGCTTGCAGTTTGCTGAAGAGAAGGTTTCACTGAGCTGTTGTCTTTCACAAATGGCTTATTCTTCTCAAGGTCCTCTAACAGATTTAATCCTGTCTTCTCTGATACTTGTGGGCTGATTTTCACTTCATTCTGGTTTTCTGAACTATCACCAAAGCACAGATTCTCTCCCATGGACACGCTACGGGACATCTTGGCCATGAAACTTGTGGTAGGACTCATATAGGACTTTGGTTTTGCAGTTTTAATGTCTTTGGCTTGCAAAAAGCTGGAATTCTCCATCTTCAATAGTGTTGCAGAAAATGTCTGACAATGGTTGGATTTTGGCTCCTTCTCACCTACCATTAGTGCCTGAGGCCTCTGCCTGACAGACAGCATCACACCAGGAATTTTATCTGTAGAAATGGAATAAATAAATGCATACAACTGGTCTGGAGCAATTTGTACAGTCAGAATTAAAATAGCTCCAGCTTCTAAATGTAATTATTTCACTTCAATTTCTGGAAGAAATAGTAAGCAAAATAACAATGTTATTTCAATATTTTTGAACCAGCACACTTTGTTCTACATAGTTTTTCTCTAAACATCATTACCTTAATTTCTGTTAGAAAATTTTAGACAAGAAATAGTGTTACATGTCCTATTTGGGTCTTTTGCAATAAACCATAGGAAAGTTGCAATAACATATCTCCTTTAAGCAAAAAGTAGCCATAGAATAATAATCCCAGTTTGTTATTGCTAACACAGAATTTGTGATATTTATTCTGTGAGTAGTGCAAAATACTAAGAAAAATAAACGCAGCCCCAAAGAACACATGTAATATGGGTTAAAAAAAAGTGAGATACCGGTCCCTAGACCAGTGTTGGCAAACCTTTTCAGCACCGAGTGCCGAAAAGGTCACGCAGAAACATCGCACATGTGTGTACGTGCTCGTTAGGGCTGCGCTCTGGAAAAGCCAAACTTCCAGGTTCTAATGCACATGAGCACCTGATGATCAGCTGGCCAGAGCGCATGTACAGGCCGGTTTTCAACACTGTCGTACACGCAAAGGGATCATGCTCTGGAAAAGTCAAACTTCCGGGTTCTGGCCCGTATGCACACCCAACAATCAGCTGGCCAGCACACATGCATACACC